AGGTCCTACCTTTACAGGTTTATGATCGTTATAAGTAGGAGGCGGGGCCACAGGTCCTACCTTTACAGGTGTATGATTTTTATAAGTAGGAGGCGGGGACATAGGTCCTACCTTAACAGGTTTATGATCATTATAAGTAGGAGGCAGGGCCATAGGTCCTACCTTTACCTTTACAGGTGTATGATTTTTATAAGTAGGAGGCGGGGACATAGGTCCTACCTTAACAGGTTTATGACCATTAGAAGTGGGAGGCGGGGCCATAGGTCCTACCTTTACAGGTTTATGATCATTAGAAGTAGGAGGCGGGGCCATAGGTCCTACCTTTACAGGTTTATGATCATTAGAAGTAGGAGGCGGGGCCATAGGTCCTACCTTTACAGGTTTATGATCTTTAGAAGTAGGAGGCGGGGCCATAGGTTCTACCTTTACAGGATTATGATCATTATACAGGTAGGAGGCGGGGCCATCGGTCCTACCTTTACAGGTTTGTGATCGTAGGAGGTGGGGCCATAGGTCCTACCTTTACAAGTTTATGATCTTTTTATAGGTAGGAGGCGGGGCCATGAGCCGTAACTTTACAGGTTTGTGATTGTTTATATGAAACCACTTTGATCAGACGTAACTTTAAAGTCATTTTCTTTAAATGTTTCCACATCGAACGGTACTTGAAACTGACCCACGTTTGTAGAACAAAGAGGTTAGTAAAGACTGAATCCACACCTGAAAGGTGAGCTGATGAATGGGATTCCTCTGAACTATCCTGATCAGTTTAATCTGTAGCTCCTCTCAGACACGACTTCTATAAATGTGTTTTTAGCAGGTGTTTCTCTTTATGTTTACAGGTGTAGGGTCATTATATCTGGCTAAGCTTTTAATCCTGATTAACAGCTCACCTTTCAGGTGTGTTCAGGAGGCAGAAACAGAAAAAGAAGCAGCAGACAGAAACAAGAGAAGAAAGATAAATTACCAGAGCGACCCCTCAGCCAACACCAAGCAGGGGGCGGGTCTCAGCAGCTCCAGCAACCACAGCCATTGGTCAGAAAGGCCTGACATGCAGAGGGAGGGGGAGGGGCTAAACTGCAAGAGGATGAAGAGAAGGAGGAAGCAGAAACAAGAACACCTGTGAGTTGAAGTAGCAGCAGCAGCAGAAGAAGAAGAACAGAGTTTAGAGACACATCACGCTAGTAGTAATCACACACATGCTGACACACAGTGGAACCACAGGTGATCCTCCCAGTGGAACCACAGGTGATCCTCCCAGTGGAACCACAGGTGATCCTCTCAGTGGAACCACAGGTGATCCTCCCAGTGGAACCACAGGTGATCCTCTCAGTGGAACCACAGGTGATCCTCCCTATTAGCTCCAGTGACTGAGACTGTTCAGCTGTTACAGTAGTTCCTGTCGTCTCTTAGACTTTTATCTTTGATGAAATAAAACACCTGGCTGGACGTCCTCCAGG